GCTATTCAGGAGGCTGAGATCTGATGATCGTGGGACAGGAAAGTCTGAGACTCTTACCTCTAATTAACCACCAGAAAACCCAGAAGTGGCACTGTAGCTCAAAGCAGTAGAGCGCTAGCCTTGTGCAAAAGAGCTCAGGGACTGTGACCAGGCCCAAATTTCAAGCCCAATGACTGACAAAAAAGAAAAAAAAAGAACTCCTATAGTAGACTATGAAAACTTAGGTTTGAATTGAAAATTAAAAATTAGATTTGAATCCTAACAAGAAAGCCAGGCAGATTTGGGTTTTAGTCCATTTGCTAGCCATAAAATTAAAGAGGTGGACTTATTTCTTGCAGACTCAGGCTGCTCTTCTGTAAAATGGGCTAACAGGAGTTGCTACCTCTGTATTAATACCAGGATGAGAGAGGAAGCACATGACATACTTGGTGCAGTGCCCTGCACACAATAAAGCTCAAAAATTAGAAGTGGAAGCCGGGCGCTGGTGGCTCACACCTATAATCCTAGCTACTCAGGAGACAGATCTGAGGATCGTGGTTCAAAGCCAGCCTGGGCAGTCCGTGAGACTCTTATCACCAATAAACCACTAGAAAACCAGAAGTAGCATTGTGGCTCAAGTGGTAGAGCACTCGCCTTGAGCTGAAGAGCACAGGGACAGCGCCCAGACCCAGAGTTCAAGCCCCACGACCGACAAAAAAAAAGAAAAAAAAAATTAGAAGTGGAACTATGGATCAATAGTAGAGCTCTAGCCTTCATCAAAAGAAGTTCAGGGACAATGCCCAGACTCTGAGTTCAAGCCCCAGGCCTGGCACACACATGCACACACAACACACACAACACACACAAAGCTAAGGGACAGCATTAAAAAAAAAAAAAGAGCTCATAAATGGAAGCTATCACAGCCTCCCTCCACACTTATCACCCACTCCCACTTTCATTCTCAGCCAGAATTGTACTAGTAACTCCCATGAGATCTCAAAAGAACAAGACAGAAAGTAAGAGCCCCCTGGGAATTTATAAGGTCACAAAACACAGCCCTAGTTTGTCCCCAAATCAAATACTTGGTTTTAACCTATGAAGACCCATCTGACAAGAGAGCTGGCAATCCCTTTCTGTGTAAATCCAGGTCAGCTGTCAGCATGCAATTGTTCTATTAGTCCCAGTCAATTTTTAGAGGCAGGCCTGTTAAGTTAACTTAAAATGGAGATGAAAAGAAAGTGTTTGATCAAATGCTAAACTGCAAAGACACTCTGACAGAGAAACAAGATGAGGAATTAGCTTCCTAAAATTATTCTCTGTGATACTTTTAGTTAACAGAGGGTATTTAAGGCTCTCAATCAGCTTTTTCGACCCACCACCCAGCTCTCTCCTCACAGCCCTAAACAGTTAAAAGAATTACTTTAGTTCTTAATATTCTCAGCTTCAAGTTCATTCAACCCTTAACCTGTGATCCAGAATGGTTGATTTTAAAAATCACAGAACTTAACATCCCCATTCCTTCTACAAATGAATTTCTCAAGCGTTTCCAAATATTTGACTTCAAGGAGGAAAAAAAATGCATTTCCACTTTAAAACACTCTTTCATCTGTAGCAATGCAAATTTTCTTTGTTTAACCAATCCACATACCACTGGCCAGTGTTTAATTGTGACTTTAACATCACCAACCATGTGGGTTGCAAAGCCAAGTCTAAAAGTTTCAGATAATGATCTCATTAACAACAACAAATTGGTTCAAAGATGAAATATGTATCAATATGTCTAAAACCCTTTAAAGTTCCACAGTTCAGAACCACAGCTGAAATGTAATTAGTTCCTCCAGCACTCAAACTGTAAACCGGACACTCTTACATGCAAATGGGCTGTAACTACTGAATGAATAAGATAATAAAAGTAATTAATACAATTTCATACCCATATATTATATGAACCACAACTTTCACAGATGGAGATACGCTCTTCATACAGGCTACATTGGTGACCGTGGGTAGTGTGTATGTGGGAATTAAGTAGTTAAGTGTAAGATGCACAGGGAAGAATCAAGATTTTTGATAATGAATTCTAAGGTCTAAGTTTGTTTCTCTCTCTCTCTCTCTCTCTCTCTCTCTCTCTCTCTCTCTCTCTCTCTCACACACACACACACACACACACAGAGGCTTTCCCTTCTCTAACCCATGCTAAAAACGGAATAGGAACTCTAATTAGACGTAGCTGGGCAAACCAGACCATGATAAGGTATCTACTATATAAACACCCCCCCCAAACACGCACATATACTTTCATTGGCATATAACAGAAAAGAAAAAGTAATACAAACAAAATTGTGTAAAATTCTTAGGGGAGAGTTTTTTTTCTTCTCTCAATCAAAAACAATATTGCTATAGAACCCCAGAAATAACTATAATAATGCTATTTAGCTTCAATTATTAGAAAATAAACTGAAGAATACAAAACATTAAAATGGCAAATGATGCATTTTTAAGATGGCAAACAAAAGGAGGTTTTGAGAAGTTCAACAAGAATACTTGGAACACATGATTGATCTGAGGCCGAACTTAATTTGTTTCTTATACTATCATGTATCACACACACACACTCTCACACACACACACACACACACACACACACACACACAACACACACACACAATATTCCTCTTAGCAGTCCTAAAACATCATCTTTCTTTTTTTCTTCTCGGTCATAGTGCCTGAACTCTGGGCCTGGGCACTGTCCCTCAGCTCTTCAGCTCAAGGCTGGTGCTGTACCACTTGAGCCACAGCGCCACTTCCAGCCTTTTCTGCTTATGTGGTGCTGAAGAATCAAACCCAGGGCTTCATGCATGCAAAGTAAGCATTCTTCCACTGAGCCACCTTCCAAGCCCCAACATCAACTTTCTTTACAGAAACTTTTCAGGGCTAGCAGTTGGACGGTATTTGTAGAAGTAATAAAAGCACACCAGGCTTTGTATACACACAGCTCTGAAAGCCACACTCTGCTTTATCCGTGGACACAGGGAGTTCAACAGGCTGGCCACAATAAAGTTGTTAAAGATGTGGAACTCACCAAGGAATGACCACTCAGACAGCTTAGATAAACCCACCAATATTACTGTGGTTATAAGGGAATTAAGGGTACCTATTAGTGATTGCTTAACAGGTAAACTTACTAAATGCCATTCAAGTCATTTTTCTTTCCTTAGCAATTGTTGACTTAAATCATTTGAGGGTGGGGGGCGCTAGGCTAATGAACTACAAAAGAGTTAGATAAGCACTTCAAAAAGTTTCAAAAGAGAATAGATTTCCTTCTGCCAAATTCACACATTATCTCTCTGCTCCCAAGGATAAAACAGTTACAAACAGTGTGTTTAAATTGCCAATTTTGTATTAAATGGTGAACCCAAGATTATCTCCAAAGCACACCACCATTCATACTGGACAGCCCCACTGACAAACCACCCTGGAGAAAGCACAAGTTAAAGCAGTAAAGATAAAAAAAAAAATCCCAAACTTCAAAAGTCTCTCCCCTTCAAAGAGTAAGAGTGTAGTGCCCACATACTGCCTCACCACGTGGAAGGCTGTAAATCAAGCATTTCTTAAAGCCATTGGGACACAGTAAAAGCTTCCAAGAGAGAGAGGCAGGGCATCATTAAGAAGCAAGACTTAAAAAAGATTCAAACAGTTCTTGAAGGCTACCATAGAACTGCTTGGGACTCTTCAGCAAGGCATCCCCTCTAACAGCTTGTAGGTTAAAGTGTGGGAGCGGGGGAGAGGGTGTCCACAAGAGCCTTGAACATCAGAACTCAATCAATGTGCTTTTGCCCTTCAGTTCCCCAAGCAGGAGTTGATGAGAATAAGAGCCTTGAAAGGGAGCCATGGGCACGTGCCGGGTACCTCCTTCACAGGCAGCACTGCTGCTCCTTGTCCTGCGCACACAGGACTCAGAATCCGCACCCAGCAAAGGTGTGGGCTGCAATTCCCAAGTCTCCTTTTCAAAACTCACCCAAGAGTTAAGGCCCTGCCGCCGTCCCATCACCCTAAAGTGTTCAAAGCCAAGCCAACCATTTCAAGTGGAGACGCGCCTACTAACAGCCCTAAGTGCGCTGGCCCGTCTACTAACAAGTTGATAAAATCACAGCCAAGGAAGCGGGAAATCTACCCAGCTAACCATCCGCAGAGGCTTCAGTTGAAGAGTCCCTCCTTCAAAGAATAAGCACAGCTTAAAGCTCTCTCAAGCCAGCTATCCTTTGGAAGGCAGTCCCCTGTCGTTGAGAGCAAGGAGGAGGCCCTGTCAGTAAGCGGACCCTGGCTCCCGATTTTGCAGGCCTGGCGCGCTAGTCCTCAGCCAAGAACGGGCAGCGGTCTCCCTTCCCGTCCTCGGTCATCTGAAGCACGCAGCGCCTTCCATCGTCACTGTAGGGCACCCCCGATCCCCACTCCGCGGCCAGACTCCGCCTGCTCCCCGGCCCTGCTTGCCCGGAGCCCTGCCAGAGGGTCTGCGCCCAGGTAAGACCGCGGCAGGATCCAGGGGAGGACGTGATGGTGCGCACCCTCTTCGGGAAACCTGGCCGCTCCCAACAGGAGCACGCCTGCACGCATGGATGGTTAGCAAAGCCCGCGACCTGAACCGAGCCAGCCATCCTTCAACAGTTGTCCTTCCAAAGTTGGCATTCAACAGGTAGTTTTGCAGACTTCCACCTGAGACTCACAGAAATGCCCGCACTGGCCCGCGGGTGCCCGGCCCAGCGTCCCCCCTGCACGCGGCGCACCCCCGAGAGGCCGAGCCCCGACGTGCGCTCGCCCCCACCCCCTCCCCGCAGCGCCCCGGAGGCCGCGTCCCGCCCGCCCTCGTGCCCTCCCGCCGGGGAGGGATGCCGCCGGCCTCCTCGCCGCTCCTCCCGCCCGCCCGCCCGCCAGTCAGCCAGCCCGCGGCGGGGTCGGCGGGCGCAGCCCCCGGAGCCATCTTGTGGCGGCGGCGGCGCGGGGCCCGGGCGGCGGGCAGCTACCTGCACGATCTCGCCCTCGGCGCTGAGCGTGGCCCCGGCCCGCGAGAAGCGGCCCGTGAGGCCGGTGGTGTAGGTGGTGTAGTCGCCGCTCGGGCTCGACTCGAACAGTACCACCTCCACGAACGCCGTCTCCTTGGCCCGCGCCGCGCCGGGCCCCGCGGCCGCCAGCAGCAGCCCGAGCAACAGCGGCAGCGGCGGCGGCGGCGGCAAGCGGCTGCCGCGGGGGCCGCGGGGGCGGCGGCGGAGGCGGCGGCGGCGGCGGCCCGGGGCCCCTGGGCGCCCGCCCGAGCGCGGCCTCATGGTCCTGCGGCGGGAGGGCGCGGAGGGCGGGCGCGGCCGGGCATAGTCGCGGGCCGGCGGAGGACCGAGCGCTGGCGGACGCCTCACAGCCCCATCGCGGCGGCGGCGGCTTTGTGGGTCGTAGGCTCGGCTCGGCTCCCCGGGCCGTCGCGCCGCGGCCCTTTCATCTGCTCCACGTGAGGGGTTATCCCCGCCCCGGCAGCGTCGTGACCCGCTCTCCCCTCCCTCCCGGCGCTCCGCCGCCGCCACCGCTGTGGGGAGCTGGAAGGCGGGGCGGGCGCGCCTGAGGCGGGGGGCGGGACCCTGAGGGCCATGACGCCCCGCCCCCCGGCTGCGCTCCGCCCTGTCGCCCCGCCCCCGGCGCGCGCTCCGCCCCGTCGCCCTGGCCCCGCCCCCGCCCGCCACCTCGCCCCGCCTTGCCGTCCTCGCTCCGCCCCGTTATGCTGTCTCGCCCCGCCCCTCACCCTCTCTCGGCCCCGCCTTGCCGTCCTGGCTCCGCCCACACTCCCGTGTCACGCCCCCTCCGCCGTGCTCCGCCCCCGCCCCGCTCCACGCTCGGCAGCCGACATTGCTCCTGGCGATTGCCAGAGTTCGGCGGGAACGGGCACCGCAACCTGCTCCGGGGGCGACGTGCTGCCTCCCTTGCAGGCCTCACCGCCTGGGTTTGGTACAGACGTTCGGTACGGAAGGCCTTCCTCCTTCCCGGCTCCCCCGTGCCTAATCCGTGGACGCAGCGGGGCTGGGCGCTCGCACGGGACCCCCTTCATCCCCCCGCCCTCTCCGTCCCCACCCCGACCTCCGGGACCTACCGGGAGGGGGCTGCGCGGGCCGGGGCCGGCGGCCACCCTGGGACGCGGCCGGCTCCGGCGCCGGTGTCCTGCGGACAGTTCCGCTCCCCGAGGAGCGAGGGCAGGTGGGGGCGACCTGCAGAAAGTTTTGGGGGTTTCTGATGGGGCTCATCTCTCTGCCGCCCCAGGGACTCGAACTCCCCGCGCGCGAGAAGTTCGGAAACGTCCGAGTCTCCGCCTGTGGAGGAGCCCAGCGCCCGGTGTCCGGGCCGCATGCTGGCTGCCACGCGAGCGCACCAGAGACACGTGCGCGGGGCCCGGGGCTCGGCTCACTTGGGCCTTTTCCTTCCTGGGACTGAAACCCTCCTTCGAAAGCCACGTTAAACTCCTACTTCCTTCCTCGGCAAGATGTCTTTGTTGGGGGTATTTGCAAATATTTGGTTAGGATGATCTACCCCTGCTAACCACACCCAAAAATATTAAAGAGACAAAGAAGAAACTCATGAGAACTAAAGTAAACAGCTTGCCAAGGTTACACTTTGAAATAGAAAAAGGCATTTCTTCTTCTAAGTGTGGAATAGAAAATACGTTTTGAAATGTACAGACCTGTTTTTCCATACCTACACAGCCCGTACGCTTGGCCCACCTGGAAAATTAGGACTCAGATGTGTCACCTTTTTTTTTCCCTTGTGCCAGTGGTGCTTGAATCCAGCAGCTTGATTTCTTTAAAGGAAGGCACTCTACCAGTTGAGCCATAACTCTAGTACCTGTGTTTTACTAGTTAACTGGAGATAAAAGTCTCACAAACTTTCCTGCTCCGGTTGGCTTTGAATCGTGATCCTCAGAGCTCAGCCTCCTGAGTAGCTAGAATGACAGGTGTGAGCCAACAGCAGGAGTGTCTTTGGTTACCCCAAAACCAAGTCTAACCAGTGCTGACTCCTGCCAGACCATGTTAATCTTGAGAATCTCTAATCCCACCTACCACAGCACCACCTTATCGAGAGGACAATCACTACAGCCCTGCACAGACACTTGGTAGTTTTTTTGTTTTGTTTTTTTGTTTTTGTCTGTGGTGAGACTTGAACTCTGGGCCTGGGTGCTGTCTCTCAGCTCTTCAGCTCAAGGCAAGCACTCTACCACTTGAGCCACAATGCCACTTCTGTTTTTCTGTTGGTTAATTGGAGATAAGAGTCTCATGGACTTTTCCTGCCCAGGCTGGCTTTGTACTGTGATCCTCAGATCTCAGCCTCCTGAGTAGCTAGGATTACAAGTATGAGCCACTGGTGCCCGGCTCCTTTGTAGTATTTAAAACTCAAGGTTGGGCTGGGAATGTGACTTAGTGGTAGAGTGCTTGCCTAGCAAGCATGAAGCCCTGAGTTCGATTCCTCAGTACTGCATACACACAAAAAAAGCTGGAAATGGTGCTGTGGCTCAAGTGGTAAAGTGCTAGCCTTGGGCAAAAGAAACTCAGGGACAGTGCCCAGGCTCTGAGTGCAAGCCCTAGGACTGGCAAAAAAAAAAATAAATAAAAATTAAATAAACCTCAACGTCATTACCAATTGATGAACATAAATACATCTAGTCTATCCATACAATGGGATCTAATTCAGTATCAAGGTGGCTAAACCTGTAGTGCTTGGTACTTGAAAGGCAGAAATTGAGGGATCAAGGCTGCAGGCCAGCCCTGGCATAAGTAGTCTCAAGACTCCATCTCAAAGCATGCTGCTAGTAGGGCTCCTGCCTAAAATCCTAACTACCCAGGAGGCTGAGATGGGCAGATTGAGGTTCAAACCCAGCACAGGCAGGAAGTCCATCAGACTCTTCTCTCCAATTAACAAGCAAAAAGCCAGAAGTAGAGCTGTGGCTCAAGTGGTAGAACACCAGTCTTGAGCACAAAAGCTAAGGGACAGCACCCAGGCTGAGATCAAGTCCCAGTACTGGCACACACACACATACACACACACACACACACACACACAGATGAGGAAGAAAAATAAGGGAGGAGGTAATTCTGGAGTTATGATAATTTTCAAAGGTTGCATTTTATAGAAAGTGAATTATATCTTAATACAGCTGAAAAATTGATCCAGTCTTCAGTGGCATTTTCATGCAAACAAGCACACATACCCAAGGACATTGTGTAAGATACTGTGTAAGTATTCACTTATACATCCAGCTGGGCATCAGTGGCTCACTGTAATCATAGCTACTCAGGAGGCTGAGATCTGAGGATCACAATTTAAAGCTAGCCTGGGCAGAAAAAGTCCATGAGATTCTTTTTTTTTTTTTTTGGTCGGTTGTGGGGCCTGAACTCTGGGCCTGGGCCTATCCCTCAGCTCTTCAGCTCAAGGCTAGCACTCTACCACTTGACACCACTTTCAGGTTTTTCTGCTTATGTGGTGCTGAGGAATTGAACCCAGGGCCTCATGCATGCAAGGCAAGCGCTCTACCACTGAGCCACCTTCCCAGCCCAAATCCATGAGATTCTTATCTCCAATTAACCACCAGAAAACCAGAAGTGGTGCTATGCCTCAAGTGGTAGAATACTTGCCTTGAGCTGAAGAGCTGAGGGCCAGCGCCCAGGCCTAGAGTTCAAGCCCCACGACCGACAAAAATAAATAAATAACTTACACATCCACTGAGGCCTACCCTCGATATTCTATTTAAAACTATGGTATAACTAAGCACTCTGATGGTTCACACCTGTAATCCTAGCTATTCAAGATGCTGAGGATATGAGGAAGTTAGTTCAAAGCCACTCAGGACAGAAAAGTCAGTAAGACTCTTCAATTAACCATCAAAAGTTGGAAGTGAGGGGCTGGGAAGGTGGCTCAGTGGTAGAGTGTTTGCCTTGAATGCATGAGGCCCTGAGTTTGATTCCTCAGCACCACATAAGCAGAAAAAGCCAGAGGTGGTGCTATAGGCTGTAGCTTAAGTGGTAGAGCACTAGCCTTGAGCTGAAGACCTGAGAGATAGTGCCCAGGCCTAGCGTCCAGGCCCCACGACTGACCAAAAAAAGAAAAAAAAAGACTAAATGAATGAGTGATAAGCTCATTCATGTGTCTTCCTCCCATTCTGCAGACATTTAGGACAGCCTTCACAGTTGCGTACAGCCACTGGGCTTCGTCAGACCAAAACAAACTCCTAGTGTGAAGGAAAACAATACTGCCTGCAGGAACGGAGATGAAAACCCACACAAAATCAAAAAAGAAAGTGGTTTTGATGTTGTTTTTTAACTCTGCTAAAAGAAAGGTATGGTTAAAACCAGGTACACTGGCTCCAACTGCTTGGGAGGCAGAGACTAGTGGATCATGGTTTCAAAGGCAGCCCAGACTCTCACCCCAAAAAAAATAAAAATTAAAAATCTCCAAACTCTTCTTTTTTTCGGTTTTTTTTTTTTTTTGGGTCCGGTCGTGGGGCCTGAACTCTGGGCCTGAGCGCTGTCCCTCAGCTCTTCAGCTCAAGGCTAGCACTCTACCACTTGAGCCATAGCGCCACTTCTGGCTTTTTTCTTTTTGCTTATGTGGTGCTGAGGAATCGAACCCAGGGCCTCAGGCATGCAAGGCAAGCGCTCTACCACTGAGCCACCTTCCCAGCCCCTCTTCTTTTTTTCTTTTAACCAGTCCCAGGGCTTGAACTCAGGGGCTGGATACTATCCCTGAGCTTCTTGCTTATGGCTAGTGCTCTACCACTTGAGCCACAGTGCCACTTCCAGCCTTTTCTGTTTTGGTTTGGTTTGGTTTGGTTGTGGGGCCTGAAATCTGGGCCTGGGCACTGTCCCCCAGTTCTTCAGCTGTAGACCAACGCTCTACGACTTGAGCCTAAGCCCCGCTTCCGGCTTTTTCTGCTTATGTGGTGCTGAGGAATCGAACCCAGGGCCTCATGCATGCAAGGCAAGCACTCTACCACTGAGCCACCTTCCCAGCGCCGCCTTTTCTGTTTATTTGGTACTAAGGAATTGAACCCAGGACTTCATGCATGCTAGGCAAGCACTCTACCACTAAGCCACCTTCCCAGTCCTCCAGACTCTATCTTTCCAAAAATGTCTGAACACAGTAATGCACGCTTGTCACCCTAACAACTTAGGGAAGCACAAATAAGAGGATTGAAGTTCAGGCCCACCCAGGCTTAGCAAGACTCTATCTAGAAAACATGCCGGCCACCAGTGGCTTACATCTGTAATCCTGGCTACTCAGGAGGCTGAGATGTGAGGTTTGAAGCCAGCCCAGCCAGAAAAGTCCCTGTGACACTCTTAGCACCAATTAACTACTCAAAACCTGCAAGTAATGCTGTGGCTCAAGTGGTAAAGCACGAGCCTTGAGCACAAAGAGGCTCAGAGACAGTGTCCAGACCCTCAGTTCAAGCCCCACAACCACCCAAAAAAAAAAAAGAACCAACATGAAAAGGGGCTGGAAAAGTGATAGATAAGAGGCTCTACCACTTGACTACTTGCCTAGCAAGTCAGTTCAAACTCCAGTACCAAAGTTTGGCACCAGTGGCTCACACCTGTAATCCTAGCTACTCAGGAGGCTGAGATCAAGGATCAATGTTCAAAGCCAGCCTGGGCAGAAAAGTGCAGGAGACTCTGATCTCCAATTAACCACTAAAAATCTGGAAGTAAAGGTGTGGCTCAAGTGGTAGAGTTCTATCCTTGAGGGAAAAAAAACAAAATAAAAAGCCAAGGAACAGCACCAAGGTTCTGAGTTAAAGCCCCAAGATGGTACATTTTAAAACAAAATAAGGCGATCACTGATGGCTCATACCTGTAAGCCTAGCTACTCAGGAGGTTGAGAGCTGAGGATCATAGTACAAAGCCAACCCAGGCAGGAAAGTCCATGAGACTCTTATGTCCAAATAACCACCAGAAAATCAGAAATGGTGCTGTGGCTCAAGTAGTAGAACACTAGCCTTGAGCTGAAGAGCTGAGGGGCCACCCAGGCCCAGAGTTCAAGCTCTACAACCGACAAAAAAATAAAATAAAATAATAAGACAAAATGAGCAAGCCAGCCAGTGAGTCTGCATTCCTAAATATGTATATAAAGAGATTTAGGTAAAGTTGGCAATAACAGTGTCATGACATGAGCCTTAAGGACAATCAAAGTCATTGAGGTCCCTGAAAACATAAATATTGGAAAGCACCTTTGAAAGAACTCAGTATAAATAGTGCTATGAATTTAAATGAAACTTCAAAATGTGCCAGGCACTGGTGGCTCATGCCTGTAATCCTAGCTACTCAGGGGGCTGAGATCTGAGGATTGCAGTTCAAAGCTACCCCAGGCAGGAAAGTCAATGAGACTCTTATCTCCAAAGAACCAACAGAAAAAACTGGCTCAAGTGGTAGAGCACTAGCCTTGATCTGAAGAGCTCAGGGACAGCACCCAGGCTCATAGTTCAAGCCCATGACTGACCCCCAAAAAAACAAAAAACCACAATCTTCAGAAGTGTTCTGCTCTCAAAATTCTATCTATATGGGGCTGGGAAGGTGGCTCAGTGGTAGAGCGCTTGCCTTGCATGCATGAGGCCCTGGGTTCGATTCCTCAGCACCACATAAGCAGAAAGAAAAAAGCCGGAAAGTGGCTCTGTGGCTCAAGTGGAAGAGTGCTAGCCTTGAGCTGAAGAGCTGAGGGACAGCGCCCAGGCCCAGAGTTCAGACCCCATGACCGGACCCCCCCCCCCAAAAAAAAGTTCTATCTATATGACCAAATAGGAAGTTAGGGCAAATCAAATCCATAAACATATGCATTAGCACCCAAGAAGACTATATTAGTGGCAAGTAAGGCTTATGCCTGCAATCCTGGCTACTCAGAATGCTATAATCCTTAGGATTTGAAAACAGCTTGCAGAAATGTATAAGAGACTCCATCTGCAACTAGCAAAAGACCAGACTGGAAGCATGGCTCAAATGGTACAATACCATCAGTGACCAAGAAAGCCAAGAGACCAAAGACTCTGAGTCCAAGCCTTGGAACCCCCCCACACACACACACACACAAACCAGTCAGGAGCTGGTGCCTCTCACCTGTAGTCCTTGCTATTCAGGAGGCTGAGATCTGAGAATCACTCAAGTCAGCTCAGGAAAATCTGTGATGCTCTTATTTCCATTAACCACCCAAAGCCAGAAGCAGAGCTATGGATCAAGTGGTAGAGAACTAGCCTTGAGTGAAAAAAAGCTAAAGGATGGTGCCTAGGCCCTGAGTTCAAGCTCCAGTACTGTCACTAAATTAATTAACTAATTAATCTAAAAATGGCCAGTCCCTGTTTTCAACATACTTCCTGCCTTTTTTCTTTCCTTCCTTCTGGGAGCATTTATTACCCTATAAGTCAGACAAAGAAGTCAATAAAAGGTTTCAATAAAATATAAGTACATATTAACTATTTTACAAAATAGCTTCAAGACTTTGAATCTCAACCCACTTCTTTAAGGTGATTCAAATATAAGACATACCATATTTATATCTATTTCTGGAAACTCTCATTTATTGTATTTAAACATCATATAATTCTCTTGAAAGGTACAATCGTTGTTACAGACAAGTAGTGACACTTCTTTCAAGCCCCTTAGAAGTGTCTCTGGGCCTTTGAAGTACACCATCAATCTACTTCTACTTCGAGCCTTAAGGCAGAAGGCCAATCTAGGCCCAACTCATCAGTCTTGAAGCCTTGCTTCAACCTGTCCCTGATTTGCAATGGCCACCCAACCAGGAGTCACAAACTCAAACAATGCTCCAGGGGCCAGGCAGGGAATGTGGCTAAGTGAAGTGGGCCAGGTGTAAGCAAAAATAACCAGCAGATGAGATGTAAATGGTATTCACACCCTTGGGAGTAGGGGTCTGGGAACGAACAGCTATTTTGTCCAGCCACAGCTCATTGCTGTAATGAGAGAATGTAAGCCTGGGATTCACAGATCTTTCTGATCTAGTCAAAGAAGCTAAAATCTGGATTGGTCTATAACCTCTACTGATTGTTAGACATTTGTAATACATTTCAGAGATTTGCGGTACTCTAGAGTAAATACTGATTGCACCAAGAAAACTACTGTGGGGCTGGGAATGTGGCTTAGCAGTAGAGTGCTTGCCTAGCATGCACAAAGCCCTGGGTTCTATTTCTCAACACCATATAAACAGAAAAAGCCAGAAGTGGCACCATGGCTCAGGTAGTAGAGTGCTCGTCTTGAGCTGAATTGCTCAGGGACAGTACCCAGGCCCAGAGTTCAAGCCCCACAACTGACCCAAAACAAAACAAAACAAAGTGCAAATAGCACAATATACATAGGAGACAGTTGGATTCAGTGGGATGCACTATTTAATTGAGATGGAAGTGTAATCACATGCATACTTGTCAAAAAAAGCCCTCGATAAGGGTCATTAAACCTTTGAAAGACAAATCAGGTTGTTTGCACCCTGATTACACCTATATTTAAAGACTAAAGAATAAAAGGTTGGATGGAAATGCTAGGCAAGAACAACCACCAATTATTTGTTTTTTCCCAACTGTATCAGACAGGATGGCTTAACACAGAAGTGAGTTAATAGGAGATTCCTGAGATTGCTGTAGAAATGTACATTTCATTCACAGTGCTGGGAAAACAACATCAGCTTGCAGGGAGATGGTAATGAGAGAAATTATTGACTCAGCAGCTGTTCCAGTGGGTAACCACCCCTTCCTAGTCCATGCTATCTGTATGTGACCATCAATCATAAAGCTCATCGTCCAAACTAGCCAATCAGAGCATTCTCCTAGCCACAATGATTAGCTCAGAGGTGAGCATGTGACTAAAGATGGGCCAATCAAATTCTTTCCTGAAATTTGATTTTTTTTTTTTTTTCCCAACTGTGTAGAAAGACCTGTCTGCTACTCTGGGGGTCTCAAGCTATAGGGATTGGGTATGTTTAAGCTATTTATGACTATTTTTATCAACCACAAAGAAAATGTTGCAGGAAAGAAAAGGCTAAGCGGAGACAGGAAGAGGGACTCCCTGGTTGCATCCATTGATTTTTTTTTTGGGGGGGGGTTTGGTCATGGGGCCTGAACTCTGGGCCTGGGCGCTATCCCTCAGCTCTTCAGCTCAAGGCTAGCACTCTACCACTTTAGTCACAGCGCCACTTCTGGCTTTTTTTATTTTTGCTTATGTGGTGCTGAGGAATTGAACCCAGGGCCTCAGGCATGTAAGGCAAGCGCTCTACCACTGAGCCACCTTCCCACCCAAGCACCTGATTCTTTGCTGAAGCAAAAGACGAATAAACATAGCCCACAAGTAGTGATTTTTTTCCTTAATTTTTTTTCTTTCTTTCTTTTTCTCTTTCTTTTCTTTTCTTTCTTTCTTTCTTTTTTTTTTTTTTTTTGTCAATCGTGGGGCCTGAACTCTGGGCCTGGGTGCTGTCCCTCAGCTCTTCAGCTCAAGGTGAGCGCACTCTACCACTTGAGCCACAGCACCACTTGCAGCTTTTTCTGCATATGTGGTGCTGAAGAACCAAGCCCAGGGCCTCATGCATGCAAGAAGCACTCTACCACTGAGCCACCTTCCCAGCCTGAACTTTTCTTTCTTTCCTTTTCTTTTATTGTTCTGTTGATGGTACTGTGCTTTGATCTCAGACTTGATCTTGCTAGCCAAGTGCTTTATGACTTGAGCCATTCCCAGCCCAAAAGCTGGCTACTTTATTTATAACTGCAGTAATAATAAGAACACACACATACATACACACACACACACACACACACACAGAGACATACACACCTTTCGTGAAGCAAGAAAAATCAGAAGGAATTCTAAAGCAAAAGGCCTGAAATAAACACTCAGAGCTAGATGCTGGTGGCTCACACCTGTAATACTAGCTATTCAGGAGGCTGAGATCTGAGAATCATGGTTCAAAGTCAGCCCAGGCAGGAAAGTCTGTGAGACTCTTTTTTTTTTTTTTTTTTGGGGGGGGGGGGTTCTGGTCGTGGGGTCTGAACTCTGGGCCTGGGCGCTGTCCCTCAACTCTTCAGCTCAAGGCTAGCGCTCTACCACTGAGCCACCTTCCCAGCCCTCTGTGAGACTCTTACCTCCAACTAACTACCAGAAAACCAGAAGTGGTGCTGTGGCTCAAGTGGTAGAGTGCTTACCTTGAGCTGAAAAGCTGAGGACAGTGCCCAGGCCCAGAGTTCAAGCCCCATGACTGACAAAAAAAAAAAAAACTCAGGGACAGCACTCAAGCGCTGAGTTCAAGCCCCAGTACTGGTGAACACACACACACACACACACACACACACACACACACACACACACACACTATTCCTTTTGTATCTATGTCCTTTGTTCTGAGCTATTCTGGATCAGACTTGTGGAATTCCTGGAGTTGGGGCCTGAGTTCAAAAGCTCTGCTTTCAACTCCTATTGCTGTCAAGGTGTGTGACCAAAGCAAATTGCTCTCCCTCTCTGAGCCTGTGAAATATAGGCAATCCTTGGCCTATTGCAGAAGCTAGACAGGCCATGGTGGGCGTGGAGGCTGGCACAGGAGCCATTCTCCTCTCCAGTCAAGAGGAGATACGAGGGAACTGTTCTCACGGCACCTGGCTCTGAACTTTGATTGTAGAAGGTTTGCTTGCATGCTTGCCCAGCCCAGAGGAATGGCCACCCCGGATAAACAGGGCCTCTCAAGTCCTACCGCTCAGATGTGGCCTGAACTCCTGCTTGTTTCTTCCATGAGTTAATCATTTACCTCCAGTGTTTAATTTTGTTTAAACAGACATGACCCTACCGGTGCCCAAGGCTCTGTTCTAACCAAGCAGCTCTGAGATCAAAGCAATCCACAAAGACATGGGAGCCCTCCCACCGCCCTGTTACAGAACTGTCCTTTAGTCTGCTGGCACCGTGGGCTACCCCACCGCCCCGCAACCTTGCCCAGAGCCAGGCGTTGCTTAGCTCTTCTCCTGGACACCGGTCAGCTTCCTCTACAGGCCCTGCAAAGCCAGGTGCTTCCCTGGTCCCCAGGTGTCCTTCTCCAGCGTTTAGTCCTGTGGGCAGCTCTTGATGTCTCTGCCCTGGGCTCCTGGGCTCTCCCAGGCTCCCTCCAGCCTCTCTTCTCCACGGATGAGGCATCCACAGGTGTCCTGAGTGGATTTGTTCATTCTCCTGAGGACACTGACAGC